TGAAGAGAAGATTGAGGATAACATATAAACACTTATCTCCATTGTTTCCCACAGTTTCATCGGCTTCACTTGATGAGCAAGAAAAATTTTCATTTTCTCGTTCGACATCCAATGTCGATTCAAGATTTTTATTTCTTTGATATTCATTTTCAGTTGCTTCTAATACTTTCATCAATATATCGAATTGAATTTCTTTCGTTCTCTTACGATTGATCAATTCACCCATAATTCTAGCACATTTCTCCAGATAAGATACACATTTATTTAAATTAATTTGTGTTTGTATGCTTAAATGATATGCATGTAGCCATAGTCGTATAGCGAGCTGACATTCTTCAGATCCACGTAAATAAGTGTTATAATCAAATGAATATAAATTATATCCACATAAATCAGCCTGATGATCAAGTAAATATAAAAAATTCGACGTAACACCTACTCGTTCACGTATCATAAGACATTCTATAATCATGCGATTAGGATTATTTCTTATTGATATTAACTCTGCAATTGTTTGACATTCAGTACAATATCCATTGGCTTCAATTGGAAATAGTAGATTGTTTTTGAGAATTGGTACCTTTGGATTTTTATATCTTAAACGCATTGCCCATAACAGATAATGATAAGCTGTTTCAATATCCGATCGATAACAATTTATCATATGGTAAGATCCGATCAGTTCAAGTTCATCGATAATTTCTGAAATTGTATACCAACATTGTGTTTTTTGTTTTTAATAAAATAGTTCACAAGTGTTTTCTGATTGTTGATACCAGCTATTGTCAATGGCGTATATCTATCGTTATCCTTTACAATTTTTGCATGATGTTTTTCCAGCAATAATTTAACAATATTCAATTTTCCTGAGCCTGCTGCTTCATGTAACGCAGTGGATCCTTCATTATTGACTTCATTTAAAAGATGATTGCCGCTATCATCTAAACTTAACAAATATTGTACAATGTCATCATGTCCACGACAGGATGCAACCATAAGAGATGTTGAATCATGCTTATCTGTATGGTATAAATCAGCACCATTCTCTATGAGATACTTGACCATCTCTAATTGTCCATTGTCGCATGCTAGACGTAGCGGTGTCCAGTTTGAGACAGAGTAGTCATAGTCCGCTTTTTGATTAACATTTGCTTTTCCAAGTGAGACGAGAGTCCGAACAAACTTTGAGATGCTTAGATTTGACTGCAAGCCAAAGTGCTGTCTGTTTATTAAAATGTTCAACATCAAATTGATAGTCAAAATCATATTGAGAGGAATAATTCTGCGCATCAACTATACAATGATGAGAATAATTTTCCAATAAAAAACGTACGATCGAATCATGCCCATGGGCAGATGCAATCATCAACGGAGTGAAATATATGTATGAGTATCGATCATCTTGGACCATTGCATTTAAATAACGGTCGAGTTTATCTGATGGAATTGAATTTAAAACTGTTTCTAATTCATGAACATTACCATTTATACATACTGCAGTAATTTCATCTAACGTTTTAGTAACAAGATCTATTGATTCTTCGAATTGGCCATTACGATTATGTATCATTTGACGCGAATGCATTGTTCGACAAAATAGCTATGAATCTAAAAATGTTTATTCTGATTCAAGTATACAAATGCAAATTAATACTGTCACGTATTGTAATTTATATTAGAAGATTGGGAGTTAAGATGAAATTCTCAGTTTATTTATAGGTGAGTAAATGAAAGAAAAATAACAGAAACAGTAATTCAGTTATTTGCAAGAAGGAAACTGAAGAAGAAAGATCACAAATATATATAGATATATAACAGTTGAATGAGAAACTTTCAACATGAAATGAAAAAATACATATTAAGAAAGAAAAAACAAAACTTGGAAAATTCCAACATACATAAATAGTGATCAGTGGGTAAAATCCAATATGTCACTACATTACATATACTGTATATTTTATGCATGATATATTACGATAGATAGAAGAAAGAAAGAATGCATTTGTACGTCTAGTGTGTGGATTTTTTTTTCGATTCTTTATTTATTTGTTCCATCGCAAACGCTTACAAGAGAAAAAAACACAGAAAACAGCACGAAGAACGAAGAGATAACAATAATATAATAGCATGATGCAATGATTGCTGATGTCTACTATGATTTATAAATTGATTTTATTTCTTTAATTAAATTTTATGAAAAACAATTGAATTATAACATGATAGACCTAAATTTAAGTCATTCACTATTTTTTATCTTCTTATTATTATTATTTTTATCAAGAAATCTTCTCATTGTAAAAAAAAAAAAGTTGACTTAAATCATGAAAAATAACAAATCATTGAATATCTTATACTAAAGTCTCATTATAATATAATTGTATGTATTTCTATTCATTTATCTTTTTTTTTTTACTTAAATTCTAATATAAACTTCACATAATGATTAAATCGTATTCTAAGACAAAAAAATACATGAACTTTTGCAATTTGAATTTCAATCGATATTTTTTTTTTGATTATATCTGACTGTGATATCAACATTCGATAGATACTTTCACGATTGCATAATTGTTTTTGAAACTTTTATTTATAAAAATTATCATTCAATTGATGTTTTTCTATATCTAGAAAATTAAATACAGATCAACACTTATTCGAAGAAGAAAATGTATATTCAATTTCTTTTCATATACTATATCAACTATTTTGTCATATCATGTCTTAATGTATACACATATATTTACATGATAAATTAATTCTTTAAGTTGAATAATATACTTAGGAAAATGCAAAACTAGTGATAAGAGTTTCTATAAAAGAATCTTCTCTTTATATTGTATGATTGAGAACCAAAACAAATGATCAGTATTTTTCTATACTATTTGCTCATATCTTAACTAATATCATAATAATAAAATTTTGATAAGATCTATTGAATTTGCATATATCATGGTTATATGATTGTTTTTTGACTAAATTTTGATGGACACTTCATAGATAAGTACATGTTTTACCGTTGAAAAGAGAAGATGAAGATACATTGAATTGTATATTACAAGTTTTTCTAATATTGATTTTTGAAGGATTTTTATTCAAATATTCAAATTTTTTTTATAGACTTTACTTGAAAATAATATAAGAGACTCGACTAAAATTCATTTCAACTGTTAGTATTTTGTAGATCTTCGATTAGTGATTTGAATTTATATTTTATAATTGAAAATTCACAGTAAATGACTCGCTAAATAGATTTGTTCTCGAAAAAATCGATTGAAAACTTTATAAAAAAAAAATCGGATCAGAAAATCTTCGAATATATAATTCGATACATCTTCATCTTCTCTTTTCAATAGTGAATATCACAATTAATTATCTATCTTATTTTTATCAAAAGTTATTTGATAAATACTCATTTGTATTTTTTTAAATCAATATTCTTATAATCAATTATGTAGAATAATGACAAAGATTTTATCGAAATCTTATTATTATGATTAAATAACATAGAAAAATAGAATATTCTTTCCTCTATCAAACTATGTAGATATAAAGTATTTTGAAGCTTATTATAAAAAATTGAAGTACTATTGTCATTATTTATCGATTGTTCTAAATCATTATCTACTTCTATGACATGTATTCTAGTAAAATGTGTTATTTAATCATAATTAAATTGATGTGAAATCTCATGTTTTTATATATAAGAGTAAAACTTTTAAATATATAGCTATATGGATTTAGATACATGTTTAATCGTATAACATTTATATACGATACAACTTAAGAAAATTTCAATTCAATGACATCACTAAAGAGGGAACATTCCCAACTGTCACATCGCTTTTGAGTCGAGCGTATGGACATTATGTAGGCCCTAATGACCTATGAATGTCCTGAAAAAAGTTCGTGCTGCTAGCTTCTTACTGCTGAGATACAGCATTTTTACTGTGTATTTAAGGAAAAAGCCGTGGCCTCCCTCAGGAACATCAGGAAAAGTGACTTTTGAGTTTCCACCTGAAACTTTGCGTGTAGACAGGCCTCAATGAGAATAGTTTATTGTGAAGGTTTCAGATTTTTTGGTTGCTCCTAGTCTGAGATAAGAACATCGGATCTGCTGGTGTATATGAACAATTTTACGATAGCTATATCTTAGGATAGGAACAGCGAAAAGAGCTGAAACTTTCACAATAAACTATTCTCATTGAGGCCTATATCTGTGCAAAGTTTCAAGACGAAATTCGAAATTCAGTTTTCCGATGTTCCTGAGGGGGACCACGGCTTTTTTTTTCTTAAACATACAGTAAAAACGCTGTATCTCGGCAATAATAAGCTAGCAGCACGAACTTTTTTCAGAGAATTCATAGATCGTGAGGGTCTACATAATGCGCATACATTCAGCTTAAAAGCGATGTGACAGTTGAGAATGCTCCCTCGTAAGAGTTTCATACATATATTTTTTAAATTTTAAATTTTAAAATTTTCTATATATTTTAATATGTAAACTTAAAATTGAAATTGTTTTTAATGATTCATATATTTTTTCTGACTCTTGTCATATTAAAAATATAATCGAAGAGTTGTATTCATTTTGAACAAGAACAAGTTCAAAGCTGACAAAAAATGAAGATATTTTATTTCATTCAAAAACAAAACAGATGATTTAATGAATGTTTCTTCAAATGAAAAAAATTTTTTTTTGAAAAATAAAAATTTTTAACACATGAAAGTTCATTAAATATCAATGATCAATATTCTCGAAAGTTACATTCAATTTAAGAAGAATATCAAGTTTAATAACTCAATATTGAACATATTATTCAATAAAATAATAACAAAAATTTAGAAATTTCTACAATGTACAAGTATTCTTCATTGAAATTTATCTTACGTTAGTAGAACAAAACATAGAATTTATTATTGTTTTCAATAAAATTTTGTTTCTTTATTTATTAATATTTATTCTTTTTTAGAATTAATATGAATCAACTTTTATATTCTTTCTCTAGAGTATAGAAAATCATTTCATATTAAAAGATTATTTATAAGAACTTGACAAATTTTTTTAGAACTTCATGGATTTTTTTCAAAGACTTTTTTATCTCTTTGAAATACAATAAATTTTAAAAGTTTTAACAATTGAAAATCTATTTTTCTTTTTCAAGTAGAAAATTTCATTGTTTCGCATTAGATGATGAAAAATATTAATTTCGACAAGAAAAATTTTATGTGAATACATTTTCATACTTTAAGAAACTCTTTCTTTACTTTGACAAAGAATTTATTTCGTAATATGATATAAAAATTGAAAAGAACTAAATTCATTGAAAGTTATTTTTATAGATTGATAGCAAATCTTTCATATTTGAATAAGGAAAATAGCACTTATGGAAAAGTAGAAAAAGACATTAAATCTCTTTTGTTTTTCTATATTATTACCGAAGATTTTTAGGATGTTTCAAATTTTGTACAACTAAAATCTTTATTTTTCTTTTAAAGAAAATTACAATTAAAGAAAAAAATCTCCATTTTACTTTTTGTAATCAAAAGAGAGTAAAATATGCAAAATTTCCATTTCCAAAAAAAAAATCTTTCTATCTCTGGACTTGTTTCTTTTATGTCATATCTCTTATTTGAATCATTTATGCTAGAGAAGAATAATAAAAG